CCAGTTTCTCACAACATAGTGATTTCTCAGTGTAGTTAGGGGGAATAACTGTACCCCCACTCCCACCCCCTTTTTTTTTGCCTTTGGGAAACACAACAGCGAGAGCATCTGCTGGTTTCTAGGCACATTCCATAGCAGTTCTTACTGAACACAACCAGATGTATCATGCCAAATTGGTTCTAATCAGAAATTAAAGCTGGCCACCCCCAGCCCCTCTGATCTCTGAGGACTGGCTGCATCACAAGGAGGGGGGTTGATTTTGTGCCGAATGTCTCTACTTTTAACACAACAGCCTGCATCTCTGCGGGTGAGGACACCTCTTCCTGCTGCTTGCTGCCTGGCTAACTGGAAAGGGAGGTTTTAAAGGAGAATTTCAGTATGGTTCCAGAAGGAGAGCACTGGAACACTTGTGAGATGTAGCAAACATTGCATGTGAACATCCAAAGGCACCCAGCTGTCCTTACCCAATGTCCATGCAGCCCGTAAGGGCATCTCTGGCCACAGTGATGGAAGATCTCTTTTGGGAGACTCCACACATTCCACAGCCCTCTCCCAGCAGCCAGAGATGCTGGAGAATGAACCCCCACCCTCCCTTGGCAGGGTTCAGTTGTGGAGCTGTTGTCTGTGAACCTTGCCAAACCCATGTTTGAACCAGTGCTGTGTCTGCTGTCAGGCAGTTCCCTCCCACTGTAGGCAGAGGTGCTTTACACAATGCGGACAGAGCGTTTTCCCTAAAAGATGTTGGGAATGGGATCTTCCTGGGGTCTCTTCCCAGCAACGACCAACAAGTCCGGATGCGGTTGCTCAGGCTCTGCTTTGGTTTGCATGACAAAACAACCCACATAAAGTTCTAGCACATCTTTAATGAAAATGAAATGATAAAATTGGGATAATACCCACCTCCTGCTGCTCTTGATAGTTAATTAATGTTTACAAATCACTTTAGGTCCTGAGATTTAATTGAAGGCAAAGTATTACCATATAAAATACCTTTTTCCGCAGGCGGTGCTGCTGGGTTTCACTGGGCACGGTGCCGTGGAAGCCAACATTAGCACAAGCTTTACTGCTTCTGTGGTCGTGAGGCTTCCTGTGGTTTATATGGAAATTGTCTCTCTGAAATCATAAATGTAACATCAGTGTTTTCCTCTCACTTTGAACGAATATTAATTTGCTAGCATAGGACTTGACTGACTATTTAAACTGCTATAAATACAACTCACCTCTGAGAAAAGAGCATCAAATTCACATTCACTATGTGCTCACTTGCTTGGGATGAGCTGATGCAACTTGCTAATGACTCTACCATTGGATGTTGCTGGCTTGTAATAAATTAGGCTAGTACTGGGTGTCCTGCTGTAGTTGAAGGGTGTATCTGTGTGCTCGTTATCATCTCCTGCTATCAAGAGGTGTAAAATGCAGCTATAAAATTTCATTTCTGGAGGTAAATTTAACTGTGGAGGTGGCAGCAAGGGAGCAAGCTCTGCTGAGTGGGGGTTTTGGTGGTGGTTTTTGGCCGGTTTCTTTTTTAGAAAGAGTAGCAAGAGCATGAGAAGCAATACTGGGTTTGGCTGGCTTCAACTCCTGGAATAAAACATTGTCACTGCATGAATGTCCCGTTTTCTGCTGTAACACTTTCTGTCTTCATACAAAGAGTGGCACAGGTTAGAATCGTATAGAATAGTTAGGGTTGGAAAGGATCTTAAGATCATCCAGTTCCAACCCCCCTGCCATGGGCAGGAACACCTCACAGTAAACCATGGCACCCAAGGCTCTGTCCAACCTGGTCTTGAACACTGCCAGGGATGGAGCATTCACAACTTCCCTGGGCAACCCATTCCAGTGCCTCACCACCCTGACAGTAAAAAACTTCCTTAGATCCAATCTAAACTTCCCCTGTTTAAGTCTGAACCCATTACCCAATGTCCTATCACTACAGTCCCTAATGAAGAGTCCCTCCCCAGCATCCTTGTCAGCCCCCTTCAGATACTGCAAGGCTGCTATGAGGTCTCCACGCAGCCTTCTCTGCTCCAGGCTGAACAGCCCCAACTTGCTCATCCTATCTTCATACGGGAGGTGCTCCAGTCCCTGATCATCCTCGTGGCCTCCTCTGCACTTGTTCCAACAGTTCCATGTCCTTTTTATGTTGAGGACACCAGAACTGCACACAATGCTCCAGGTGAGGTCTCACAAGAGCAGAGTAGAGGGGCAGGATCACCTCCTTCGACCTGCTGGTCACGATCCTTTTGATGCAGCCCAGGATACGGTTGGTTTCTGGGCTGCAAGCGCACACTGAAGCCGGCTCATGTTCATTTTCTCATCGACCACCACCCCTAAGTCCTTCTCCACAGGGCTGCTCTGAATCTGTAGCTGTGCCTGGGATTGTTCTGACTCAGGTGTAGGACCTTGTACTTGGCATGGTTAAACTTCATGAGGTTGGCATCAGCCCATCAGCCCACCTCACAAGTGTGTCAAGGTCCCTCTGGATGGCATTCCTTCCCTCCAGGGTATCAACTGAACCACACAGCTTGGTGTCATCAGCAAACTTGCTGAGGGCGCACTCAATCCCACTGTCCATGTCAGCAACAAAGATGTTGAACAAGACCTGTCCCAACACCCATCCCTGAGGGACACCACTCGCTACTGGTCTCCAGCCGGACACTGAGCCATTGACCACAACTCTTTGTGTGCAGCCATCCAGCCAGTTCTTTATCCACCGAGTGGTCCATCCATCAAATTGATGTCTCTCCAATTTAGAGACAAGGATGTTGTGTGGGACAGTGTCGAATGCTTTACACAAGTCCAGGTAGATGACATCAACTGCTCTACCCCTGTCCATCAGTTCTGTAGCCCCATCATAGAAGGCCACCAAATTGGTCAGGCAGGATTTCCCCTTAGTGAAGCCATGCTGGCTGTCACCAAGCACCTTGTTGTTTTTCATGTGCCTTAGCATGCCTTCCAGGAGAACCTGCTCTAAGATTTTGCCAGGCACAGAGGTGAGAGTGACTGGTCTGTAATTCCCTGGGTCATCCATTTTCCCCTTCTTGAAAATGGGGGTTATATTTCCCTTTTTCCAGTCATCAGGAACTTCACCTGACTGCCATGATTTCTCAAATACGATTGCCAGCGGCTTAGCAACTTCATTTGCCAGCTCCTTCAGGACCCATGCATGGATTTCATCAGGTCCCGTGGACTTGTGCATGTTCAGGTTCTTAAGATGGTCTCGAACCAGATCCTTTCCTACAGTGGGCCCAAGATCTTCATTCTCACAGTCCCTGTGTCTGCCTTCCAGGACTTGGGTGGTGTGGTCAGAGCCTTTGCCAGTGAAGACTGAGGCAAAGAAGTCATTCAGAACCTCAGCCTTCTCCAAATCCAGTGTAGCCAGTTCTCCTGAGAGCTTCCTGAGGGGGCCCACATTGTCCCTAGTCTGTCTTTTATTCACTGCGTACCTACAGAATCCCTTCCTGTTATCTTTCACAACCCTAGCCAAATTTAATTCTAACTGGGCCTTAGCTCCCTAGCTTCCTGGACAACATCCCTGTATTCTTCCCAGGCCTCCTGTCCTTGCTTCTACCTTTTATAACTCTCTTTTTCCCTTCGAAGTTTCCTGAGGAGCTCCTTATCCATCCAGGGAGGTCTCCTGGCCCTCCTGCTGCACTTCCTTCTGGTTGGGATGCAACACTCCTGAGCTTGTAGCAGGTGATCCTTGAATATCAACCAACAGTCTTGGGCCCCTCTGCCCTCTAGGACTGTATCCCATGGAACCTTCCTAAGCAGGTTCCTGAAGAGGCCAAAGTCTGCTCTCTTGAAGTTCAGGGCAGTGAGCTTGCTGCACGCTCTTCTCACTGTCCTGAGGATCTCAAGTTTGACCATCTCGTGATCGCTGCATCCAAGGCTGCCCTGGAGAGTCACATTTCCAACAAGCCCTTCCCTGTTGGTGAGCACAAGGTCAAGCACGGCACCTCTCCTTATTGGCTCCTCTGTTACTTGCAGAAAGAAGTTGTCTTCCACACAGTCGAGGAACCTCCTGGATTGCTTGTGCCGGGCCGTACCGTCCTTCCAACAGATGTCAGGGTGGTTGAAGTCCCCCATGAGAACAAGGGCCTGTGAGCATGAGGCTGTTCCTATCTGTCTGTAGAGTGCTTCATCCGCAGGGTCTCCTTGATCAGGCAGTCTGTAACAGATCCCCACAGTAATGTCTCCCATAGCTATTTTCCCTTTAACCCTGACCCACAAACTCTGTGGACTGCTCACCTGTCCCCAGACAGTTCCATACTCTCCAGCCTATCCCTATAACATAAAGGGCAACTCTCCCTCCCCGCCTGCAGGGACTGTCTCTTCTAAAGAGCCTGTAACCTTCCATTCCAACACTCCAGTCATAGGAGCCGTCACACCATGTTTCTGTGATGCCTGTTATACCCCCGTAGATGTGCACACATCTCTAATTCCTCTTGGTTGTTCCCCATGCTACGGGCGTTTGTATAGAGGCATCTGAGCCGAGCTCCAGCTGAAGCCGGCTCATTGGCTGGAGCGGCTGGGATATCTCTACAGTGCTCCGAGCATTTCTTATAGGTGCTGACAACCGACTGGGAGTGTTGGGATGGAATGATGCCCCCCTCCCCCAACACATCTAGTTTAAAGCCTCCTTGACCAGTCTGGCAAGCCTCCTACCAAAACCGCTCTTCCCCTTAGACCAGCTCCATCAGCCCTCAGTAGACCTGGCCTACTAACTTGGGTCCTGTGTTCAAGACACCCAAACCGCTGACTATGGCACCACCCTTCTAACCATTTATTAACCTGGGCAATCCTCCTAGCCTTTTTGGGCTCCTCCCCTGTGTCCTGGAGAATTGACGAAAAGACAGTCTGAGCTCCAGAGCCCCTAACCAGCTCTCCCAGGGCTCTGCAGTCCTTCTTTATGTTCACCAGGCTACTGCTGTCTATATATTTACTGCTGTCTAGTTGGACCAGTTACTGAATCTGCTTCTGTTGTTTCTTCCACACAGGGTGACTATGACCCCAGCAAAACCAAAATTCTTCATTTCAGCATGAATCCAGCGAGCTTGGCCATGCAGCAGCGCAAGGAGGAGCACCAGCAGCTCCAGGAGGCATATGAAAGGCTGAAGGAGACAGTGAGGGTGCTTGAAGGAGGTGGTTCCATCCCTGAGAATCTGGAAGGACTTGGGAGTTTACAGTCATCACAAGAAATTGCAGGTAGGCTGCTGGCTTCTGGTTGTGAAGATGCACTTATTCATGCGTACTGCCAAAGGAGCTGTCTGCAAAAGCAGATGGAGACATTGCAGACAGTGTGCTTGATGGAACAGTTATAAGGGAAATGAAAAAATACTGGGTTGATGCAGGAGAGAGTAAATGTGGTGGCAATCCTGTGGCAGTTTGCGACAGAGGATAGGTGGTAAGGATAAATAATGATAATTCATATCATTTGCTCATGATAAATGAAATGCCAATGCAACAGCCTTCATAGCCTGGTGCTGCTGATGGAGTAAAGGGAAATATTGCCTTCCTTTCAGGGCTGGTTTAGCCTTTGAGGTAGTACAGACAGCAGGAAATAACTTTCATAGCTGCAGGGAAGCAAGTGGTTGAACTCTTTTCAGACCTGGCTTAAAACAAATTAATATTGTTTATCAGTGTATATGTGCCCCATTAATCACAGCTACATTCAATACTCCATGAAAGTAGAGTACATCTTTCACTGAGCTAAATACATGGCACAGAATTTGTGGCTCTCCTCCAGTATATTCTGTCTTCCCTTCACATACCTGAATGAGACTTTTTACCCCAAAGTCAGCACCTCCAGACATGCTCCCAGACTCTGTAAATCAAGGTAAGGATATCAAGAAAGCGTGACCTATCACCCCTCTGTGCGGGCACCAGGCAGACTTGAGTCATGCTGCAGAGCCCAAGAGATCTTGCTGCTGTGACTCTTCCACATGTACCTTGCCCTCAAAACAGTTTTGTTAGAAAAGATTAAAAATAAGGAGAGCCAAATGTCTGTGTGGAGCCAACCTGTGGTGTTTCTGCAGCATGTACACAGTCAGTGGCCAGAGGTCAGGATCCTCCTCTGATGGGGCCAGGAGGGCAGAGCTCCACTCAAAGGAGATTTGGGATCCACAAAATGGCTGGTTTAAGGAATATACCCAGAAGAAGGTATCTTTCACTGTTATGGCATCAAAATTCTCTGAAAGTAGCTTGCTTTTCCCATTGATCAAACAAGGGTACTTTATTACTGCTAAGGATGGGTTTGTTCCCGCATCTCACAGTGGATTATGGTGCTATATAGCCTTAAAAATACTATGGTGAGAAGTGTAGATGGGGTGGTTTATAAAGTGAAGAGCTGTTTGGATGTTAGAGGTGCGATGACAGTTTGTCACTGTTGTTAGTGGATGCTCTAACAAGTGCATAAGCATTAAACACTACACATATATGTAAGGAAGACTGTCCATAGGAGCTTCCAGTCTGAGACCCCACAGAGACTGGAGCAGTTCTTGGGGGTGGTTCTTGCATTGCAATTTGAATTTGACACGCACTGCTTTTTAAATTACAGCAGATGCTGCTGCCTAATGCCCTTGTCTGTTGTTATGCCCCCGAGTACCTGGCATATCTAATGAATGCTGCAGATCCAGAGGGCTGACAGTGCCCCTCGAGCCCAGGGAGGAGAGCGCTGGTCAGGGAGGATGCAGAGGTGAAGTCAGCTCTGTGTCTCTGCTGCTGAGGAATGAACCTCTGGGGTATCATCCACAGTAATTAGAGCATTTCATCTGGGGGAATGCACTTCTCACATGTGCCTCCTGTGATTTGTTATTCAGAATTATTATTCTGCTGCCTTTCACGCAGTTGCTTTTAGTTGTTTGTGAGGTGCTGCTGTGCTGGGATGTTACCAGGTTTGTCATTAGCTCATAAGGGATGCATTTTTAAAGCTGTTTTCTCTTCTGCCTTTGATTCTGACAGGAAAACAAACAGCTCACCGAGTTCCAGGGTGTTCTAGCCTCTCATATATGTGACGCTGTTTGTTTCATTTTGCCCCAGTCCCATGCTACATCATTCTGACCTCTGGTCACCAACTCGAATGGGAGAGATCGGCTGCAGAGCCTAGTGGAGTGGGAAATATTTCAGTGTCATTTATCAAAGTCACAGGAGGGCCCTTTACGTTCTTGGAGTGCCTGTGAGTGCATATGGAAGTGATTCATGTAAACAAAACGGGAAAAAGAGCTGGGAGTGAAGCGTGGATGAGCCCTATGAGCCCTTTAAGACCAGGGCATATGTATAGTAAAGATCAGGGCATATGTATAGTAAGCCAGGCTATATGGAAAGATCTTGAGTTTTTTTCTTATATTTTATGTACTTTTGTACATCACTGTCATGCACAGGGAACATTGCCATAAACAGTCTTAAACCCTCCTTTCTGCTGGGGGAGTATATATCAGTATGGTTGGAGGATGAAGACCATGTATACCAGGATGTTCAGGAGATGCTGAGGACGTTACGGCACTGACTGCAAGGTTAACGGCATTGAATTAGCCAGATGAAAGCCAGATGTACTGGGCAGGGCAGAGCTCCTGGTGTGTTAGGGGACAGCTCATCAAGTGCACCATGCAAGCTGCATCTGTTTTTGCATTGACTCTAGCCTGCTTAACTCATGCAGCATCTGCAGTGTGGATGCCACAGCTGTTCCTGTGGTTTAAGACCATGGATTTGCATGGCCAGGAAATTTCCACTGTCTTCTCCCTCTGGATAAGAAATGGAAGATCCAGCTTTCACTGTTTTCTTAGGATCTCAACAGCTCTGCCCACAGGAATGGCTGCCATATGCTTTCCATTTTAGTCTATTTCCAAGGTGTGAAGTGGGGAGCATGTGGCAGAAACTCCATCTACTCTGTTTGTCACTGTGCAATTGACTGCCTTGGGGAGGCAGGTTTATTGTGTATAATGAGGGAGCAGGTTCCAGTGAGGTTTGTGAAGCTGTTTCTATGCAAAAATAACAAGAATTGGAATTTTTCTTGCACCCCTTTCTGTCAGCTGCAATACCCATATGTCTGTTTATCCATTTCATTTGTATGACACACGCAAGAGGCAAATTCAGTTCTCTGAGCTTCTGAGGTGGGAGGTCTCTTCTGTCAGAGTTGAATAGGATGAAGGGGGGCTGAGGGCACAGTAGGAAGAGTATGGATAAAAGCTGGGAAGACAACAAAGGTCATATGTAAGTTTGCATTTTGCCTTTTGACTATAAAGGTAAATGTAAGCTTTTACTGTCCTATTTTGCCATATAGCCTAAAGGGCTTTTTGGCAGAGGTGAGGGATTTGGGTGGCCTCTAGCCAGGCAGGTTTGCTGTGTTCAACAAGCTTATGTGATCTGCAGCAATGATGCTTAAGGTTCAGAGAATTAGACCAACCAAAGAAAAGCATTAAGGACAATGATGTTGATGGTTTTGATACTAATGTGTTGGCCAGTGTTAAATTCATTGGACTGGAATGCAGCACGTTTTTTCTGATCATGGTTCAGACTCCTGGATAGGTAATAAGGAAATGATTACTGTGGATGTTAAAGCTCATTAAATGTGACTCTATTAAAAATCAAGGTTATGCTGGACTTTAAATCTCTTTGAGCATAACCGCTGGCGGCTGCAGCACATCCTGGCAACTTGCCATATAATTCAGTGGTCCTTTCCTCTCATTTATGCTGTAATAGTCTCTGTTAAAGCAGGTAGCAGGGTTATTGCAGAGCAGAGGTTTGAATGATGTGAGCTGTAACAGCATGCCCTCTTTTTGCCAAGTAGAAACTTGCACGTGGGGTTGTGTGCTGTTGACGGGGCAGATTTGTGGCAGCCTCAGTACAGGAATGGGCTGTGACTTCATGAGGGCTTTGTGTCTCTCCCTGTGGCTGCCCAGGTGTGGGCTGTGTACGAGCAGGGTGCTCCAAAGTCAGGCTGCCGTCTGTGGAGAGGCTCCGAGTGTCTGGAACAGGGATGCAGATTGTAACAGCTTTGGAAAGGTATCACTGCCCAGACTGGGAATCTGCTCCAGTTCTGCATTTCTCTTCCCTGTACTCTTCACATACACAAACCACCACTCTCCCTCCTCTGTATTCAGGCTGCATCTTCTGCTTTTTTCTTCCAGCTCCATAGCTTTTCCAGGTTTTCTCTATTTCTCTCCAGGCCATTTCTGTTTACGTCTCCCTTTTTTTGTCTTGTATGGTCCTAGTAGACCTCTAGATTTTTCTTTTCTGGCACTGCTAGAGATGGAGTTCAGGCTTAGTTGCAAGCAAATAGGTAGGTGGCAGCTCATAGGGAGCTGACAGAAGTAATGATGTGTGTATTGTGGCTAAGCGTAGGTAGAAATGAGAATGCTTCAGGTAATGATTATTTCCATTTGTCTTCTCATCTTAAATATGGTGTATTTGAAGAGAGGAACGCATGACCCATGGAAGCTGGTTCCTGACTAAAGAACTCTAATGCAAATTCCATGAGCTCTCATGATTTATTGCTATCCCATAGGCACAGTGGAGCATTCCCTTCTTTCATGCAGCCTCTCCCCGTGAGCAAGAGGAAAAGTGCTTTTAATATTCTTTCTGTTGGGAGACAGGCTGGCACCCCTACCAGGAAGGAAGATGGGGAGATCAACGCCGATTTCAACCATCTGTAGAGAAATTTTGGAAGTGAACTATTTCCCTGAACATAGTCCCACCAAAAAGGAAAACTATTGATCCATCTCAGTGTGTTCTTTTTCCCTTGTTAGGGCCAAGTAGGAAAAGGGGGTCCTTGATGAAGGTCTAGGGAATCTGGTTGCAGGGCAGGTGTTCGACCCCAGCAGGGATGCTACATCTGCTGTTCAGCAGAGGCTGTCTCCAGCATCGCTGCCATGTCAGGGCCTTGTAAAAATGTAATTAATTGGACTTAAATGGGGTAATGAATTAATATTAAAATAATATAATCTTGTTGAAATGACAAGCCAGAGATGGTAAAATTTGTCACTGTCCTGGTATGCTTGTGCTTCTGGTGAATGTGTTTCTGAGTACAGAAGGCGACAAAAAAGGAGCAGATGGAGTTTAGAAGTTGCTGTTCTCCATCCACAGTTGGCTGAGCTGTTGGTGCTTGGAAGCCTTGGTGCTTCCTACCATCTGTGTATAGGAAATCCACACATGATGAGGGCTGCACCTGCAAATGGAACCTGAGTCCACCTGATGGAGGATTTTTGTGT